AAAAAAAACCCAAAAATATATATTTGTGGTGTATTTTACTCTGCTAATCTCCCCGCCTCAAGCTCCCAGTTCCCCATCGTGTCCCTTCTCCAGCCTCTGACTCTCCGCAGTGGGAGGAGCGGGCTTGGAGCCTGGAAGCAGGTGCAAAATTCCTATGACTGGGAGCAGTTGCACCGGGGAGTTCCTCGGCAGCAAATCAGTAAATCAGCTTTGATGTGTCGCCAGGTGCCTGCCAAACTGGGAGCCCCAGCCAACCCGGAGCCATCACAGCTCCCAGGCTCTCGCTTTAAATTCCATACATTTTTTCTGGTGCCATTTTGTATTTGATGCCTTTTCCTGAACGTGGAAATTTGCTTTCAGTTCACAAACTCCATTTGGTACCTCCAGATGCATCATTATTTACACTGATTAGTAGTTACTCTAATTAATTACAGCTTAATTACTGTAGTTAATGTTTGTACAGTGCTTGGAACAAGTACAGCGCTATACGTGCCACATATTATTATTTTCTTCATTATTAATTAAGCACCATCTCCATTCCATGCTGCGCTACTTCATTATTTCCCAAGGAGCTGCCGTAGCGCCCTCGTTCCCACCCAGGAGTACTTTACTCCCAGCTCCCACTGGGATGCTGTGGGGCTGGCTGCCGTGCAGCACGGGAGTGGGAAGAGCAGGATCTGTGGTGAGTGGGATTGCTAAGCAACATGGAGATGCTCAGGTTCTTTTCCCTTCACCCTTTCAGGGCATGGAGTCTAAAAATAAAAGGGGGAAAAAAAGACAGCTGAGGGCAGCAGGACGTCCAAAAGGACCATGCACAGGTCCCATCACAGCCGTTCTTGTGAGGTCTCCATGGGATGATGGTGGCCCAGACCGTAGAAGGGATCTGGTTCCCCCGAATCCAGCAGCATTAGGCACACGCTCCTGTGGAGGGACCCCCTTGCTCTCCCGGAGCGCCAAGGCAAGGGCTGGGGTGGCAGGGAGGAGTGATGGGCACCGATGGGCTTTGCTGGGGGTCTGCGTGGAAGAGTCGCCAGTCACAGGTGGGCGGCGTTTCCGCAGCACCTGGAGCAGTATCCCCAAAAATCATCGCCAGCGGCACTGCCTTCATAGCAGCTCGTCTCAGGCTGGACAGGGTGGATCCAGAACTGAAATCCCATCGAGCCCTCTCCACATAACACTATTTTTTTTCTGAACCAAAGAGTTTCAGCCTTGTCTCAATCTCCTTCCTTTCTGCCTTCTATTATTTTTTTTCAATGTTTTAGTTCATGTCTCCCTTTAATTAATCACAGCTCTGGGCCAGCCAGACCCATTAACTACTCTTCTCGTTGAGACCTTTCCGAGATGCAGTTGCAGATGCAATTTAATTCCTTGACCCATGATCGATAGCAATTAATACCATCTCTTTAATCTTGTTGAAAGCTTCGTCTTGGGCTTCCAGAGGCTGCCATCTCAAGGGAAAGGTGTCTCGTACATGTGTTATTAGATGGGGGAGCACAACCTCCTCTGCAAGCACCGTCCTTCCCATCCTCCCCCCGCCCTGAGCCAATACCCTTGGAAATGTAAGAGGTATTTGTGGGAGATGGGAGGTGACAAAGGTGAGGGAAGATGCTGAGGGGTAGAAGAAGAGCAGGGGGCTTGGTAGGGCAGAAAGCAGGGGAAGGTGGAGTTGATGGGTTGGGAAGATGAGGGATAAAGAGGACAGCATGAAGGAATGATGCAGCCTAGGAGACGTGGATGGAAAAGGGAGCCAAAAGGTCTCAAATTGGAGCAGAAGAGCAGATCAGAGAGCAGATAGCTTAGAGGCAACGCCTTCAGCATGAGTAGCAATGAAATCTGCAGGAGAAACACGCCCAGAGCCAGAAAGACGACCCTTCCTCTTGGGGTGCTTTACACCCCAGTCTCACCTTGATGTGATGCCATTTTCTGCCCCCTCAAGTGCAGCAGCTGCGCACAGCCGCCCTCCTCCTCCAAACAGCAGGAAAGCTCACCCTGATAGCATCACCTTTTCCGCTTAGAATCACAGAATGGTTCGGGTTGGAAGGGACCTCAAAGATCATCTAGTTCCAACCCCCATGCCATGGGCAGGGAAACCCTCCACTACGCCAGGTTGCCCAAAGCCTCATCCAACCTGGCCTTGAACACTTCCAGGGATGGGGCATCCACAGCTTCTCTGGGCAACCTGTGCCAGTGCCTCGCCACCCTCTGAGTGAAAAATTTCTTCCTTATATCCAATCTAAATCTCCCCTCTTTCAGTTTAAATCCATCACCCCTTGTCCTGTCACTACACGCCCTTGTAAAAAGTCCCTCTCCAGCTTTCCTGTAGCCCCCTTTAAGTACTGGAAGGCTGCAATAAGATGACCCCGGAGCCTTCTCTTCTCTAGGTTGAACATCCTCATTAATATGCTGTTACACAAGCTTATTTTATAATTACGGGATTATTTCCTGCACACCCCGGGCGGGAGGAGCTGTCTCAGCTCCGAATCACCTGTGAAGTGGCAGCAGGGTGATGTTCTCCCCCAGGAGCCTGCAAGGCCCACTCAAACCAGGCTAAGGCTGGGAAAAACCTGGACTTTGGATACTCTCCATCCTACCATCCCACCCAGACAGCTCCCCACAGTACCGGGATGCTGAGCACCAGCACTCCTGAGTCAGCAGCAGGTAATGGCTTCAGTGGCACGCACAAGTCGAGTCCCATCTGAGGTGGCCATCCCCTGGCTCGGCTGTCCCAGCTGGCAGGGATTCCAGATCTCCTGCAGCAACCTCTGTTCAGCCACGACTCTGCTAAACATAAAGGCAAAGAGCAAATCCTTGGCTTCCGACACGGCGCGGGCAATAATGTGTTTCTCGTTGGTGGCCATTAAAGGGAAAAGAGGGCCCATGTGAATGTGTAGCAAATGAATGCCTTTTCTATGGCAAAATTACATGGTTTTGCAACAGGGAGTCAATAAAGAAAATGAAAAATTCACCAAAAATCCACCTTCCTTTGTAGTGTGGA